TTTCCGTATTATATAGGTTTCAGAGTTCTTTCTAGATACTGTAATATTAGGTATGGGAAAAAGTTCGTGACGTTTTTCCCATTAGATGTAACGGGAAAAACCTAATACTAAGAATATATTGTAATAAAGAAAAAAAAATTTTCTAATCGGGATCCGATGTATGCATACAGCGATCCTCACTGAGACTATCTTCAAAGGAGCGTTCTCGACAACCGGATGATCCGCAGAATATCTGGAGTCCCGTAGAGAACCGGAGGATCGCATTCAACATCCTGTAGACGACAGCAGAGCCTCGGCCAACCTTGAGGGATACGAACAGCCCTTCAAGCATCCAGAGGTCAACCGACTAGCAGTTATCGCCGACGAAGAAAGTTATCAGCACGTAGCGGCACTACCAACTCACCGGCCGCAACCACTGAGAATTACAATATTCACGACCAGGTCTTCAGACAACCAAAGGTTCGCCACCATCATGAAAAATCCATCACAGGAGCGAATCCACTAGGAGGTCAGACGATTGACGTTACCGACACCAGCGTTAATACTAACACCTGTCACTGCCGAGTTCTTCTCAGGTCTTGGCTAAATCCATCTTGGATCTCATTGTTCGCACATAAAACAAAAATCGTCAAGACGCATTGTTGGAATAAAGCACGCATACACGTAAATCTGCTCCCTTAAACCACCAAAGTATAAAAATATAAAACAAGTAGTGGAAATATGCAGATAGTCGCTTTTAGTTATTGATATCAACAAATTGCTAGTCTGCTATATATTTCATCAATCACTCTCGCGAATAGCTTTGTTGAACTTGAATAAGTATCATTCTAATTTTCATAAAATATAAAGTTTCCGAGTAATATTTATGATGGAATACTGGTCAATCTCAATGTTATCAGTCGTGATTAGCGTTCTCGTTACTTATTATTTGTTCAGAAAGTTTAACTTTTTTAAAAGACATGATATTATCCATACATCATCTATTCCAATACTAAGTGTCATGCCAATTATATTTCGAATGTCATTTGCTAATTTCACCAGAAAAATATACAATCTGAATCGAGACGCAAAATACATTGGATTCTACGCTACAATGAAGCCAGTTCTTATGCTCCGTGATCCGGAATTAATCAAGGATGTTATCGTCAAGAATTTCGATTCATTTACCAATAATTCCATTTTCGTTGATGTTAATGATTATATGCTTTCACAGAATCTGTTTGGCTTACAAAACACAAAGTGGCGGCACGTAAAAAAACTACTATCTCCGTTATTTACTTCCAGTAAGATGAAAAATATGTTTATTTTGATGTCGAAATATGCTGCGGATTTTGCTGAATTGATGTTAACACTATCAGCGAATAAAAGCGACGTTAATATGAAAGATATCTTCAGTAGATATACAAACGATGTCATTGCCTTATGTATGTATGGAATGAAGATCGATTCTATAAGGGATCCGACAAATAAATTCTATGTTTGTGGCAAAGATATAACTCGTGTATCAGTAATACTCATCATAAAGTACATTTTTATTAGAACCTTTCCGAAGCTCGGACAAATATTCAATATAAAACTTTTTAATAATCAAGAAATGAAATATTTTGAAAGCAGGATAAAGAACGAGATTATCATTCGCGATACTGAGCACATTTCACGTCCAGATATGATACAATTAATGTTGGATAACAGAGGCAAAGAGGGTCGAATACAAATGGATGATATTGTCGCGCAAGCTTACGCTTTCTATTTCGCTGGCTCTGAAACTAGTTCAAGCGTGATGTCTTTTATAACGTACCAAATTGTAGCTAATCCAAATATTCAGGTCAAATTGGGACAAGAGATTGATGAGCTCTTGAACGAATTGGACGGAAACGTAACTTATGAATCTATTAATAAACTCAAATATTTAAATGCAGTAATAAAGGAAGCTCTTAGACTTTTTTCGCAATCTGTTATAGAAAGAGAGTGTGAAAAAGCTTATAAATTGCCACCTGCATTGCCGGGCGAAAAGTCTTTCACTATAAACAAGGGCATGATTATTTGGATTCCGTTGTATGCGATTCATCATGATGAAAAATATTACGATAATCCTGAAGAATTTCGTCCAGAAAGATTTTTAAATAATGATCAGGACAATAATTATCGATCTTCATTTTATTTTCCATTTGGATTAGGGCCGAGAATGTGCATTGGCAGAAGATTCAGTTTGTTGATGATCAAAGTCGTGCTATTTCATTTACTAGCACGATGTGAACTGAAACAGTGCACCAAAACTTCGTCAATTAAATTCGAGCGAAAAAAATCTGCTACTGATGCCGAAAGACGGATTTTGGTTGAATATTCAACATAAAATGATAAATACAATAGAGATTAGAATAAGCGATAGCGTTATTGAACTAGTTAAAACGTTAAAAGTTAAAAAAAAAGTTAAAAAATTAATAACTTTTAACTTAATTAATTTTAAATGCATTAAATTTTAACTTAACTAAGTTACTTTTAAACGTTAACTTTTTAACTTTTTTTTTAAGTTAAACAATTTTTTTATCTCTTTTAAATATCTTAGAAAAATAATAATATAATAAGACTAAGGGCGTATATTTATAATCTGTTCATATTTTAAGACCATCTTAAGTAATTTCTTAATAATACAACTTCTCTAATTATAATTAATTATATTAATAATAACAGTCCTCTGATTTATGCGGTTATGCCTTAAGCCATAAACCATAATCTGGATCTATAATAGATTTTAAGTTATAGCCTTAAGTCATAGTCTTAAGTCATAAGAAATTGATATTTGAATTACAGTCAAATATTCTTCTCGCATTCGATTGTAATTAAAAAATAATCACTGATCTTGTATCTTCTGTATGTGTTGACTGTTTTTTTAAAGTTATATAACTTATATAGTTAAAGTTATATAATTTATATCGTTTTATGTTATATACTTATATCGCATATGAATAAAAAAATTAAAAATTTAATTTACTTAATAATCTATATTGTAGTTATTTAATCTCATTTTTCAAAAAATCAGGACATTTTGATCTAAAAAATAATTTTTTTCAAAATTAACGTTTTTTAACTTAAGTTAATTCAATAACTTACGTTAAGTTAATTTTTTATTCCTTCAACTTTTAACTTAACTTTATTAATTTTGTAAAACCATTAACTTTAACTTTACCATTAACTTTAACTTTATTCAGTTAAAAAAAAACATTATTTTACCTAACTCTGCATACCCCTGGAATTGCATAGAACATATCTCTATGCCTTTTTAAAAATAATATTAGTATTTTCTGTGCATCGTGAATAGTATTCAATTCAGAATTGTGAATAAGAAGTAGTTTTTTTAATTCAATTAAATTCAGAAATAATACCAGCAATTTCTAGGCAACGTGCATACTGCTCAATTCAATATTCTGAATATGAAATGCAATTTTTCAATCTAATTAAATAAAAAAAGTTTTTATTGAAAAATGGAACATAAATGCTACTTAAATTACTCAAAATTATAAATAGGAAATTTTTCGTTTTAATCCAACTAAGTTTAAAAAAGTTGTAAAAATAATTGAGCTGTGTTCTTTTGTTTTTTTTTTATTAGAAGTAAAATGAATCGATCTGAACATTCGCAAACCAAATCGAACACAGCCTGAATATTAGGTTAATAATAGCACGCGACATGCGGGATTAGATTATTCATAACATTTACTCAATGTTGTCTCATAGTAATGTAAATTGTTTATACTTTATTATGTCTATTAAATGATGATATTTTTTATTATATCTATATAATTCGCGTTACTAATTTAGTTGGTTGTAATTGAAGTAGAGAATGAATAACATATTTATCAATTGAAAAAGTAACGTAGAAGATCCATAATCCATAAAAGATAATCCAGAGATTTCCCACTAAGAAAAACTGCGTTTTTTAATATCAATTTGAAGTAGTTGATTCCAAGTATAATTTTTCAGATATAATATTATAAATGTCTTAGAAATAAAATTTGTAACTCTTAATTATGAATGTTTTTTTTTTCGAATATTAAGCTAGTGTCAGCTTGGATCCAATTCATTTCAATCTATTCAGTCCATTTTCATGATGGATTTAAAGTACGCATTAAAAAAAATTTTAATCCATTTTAATCCATTTTAATCCATTCTCATTTGCTGGTAACGTAATAGACTAATAAAGTCGACTGTTGTTAATTTTATAAATTACAATACACACATACCTATATCTGATAGAAAATTTTTCCCTCCATTTTTCCTTCCTTTGTTTTCCTTTCCCTCCGGCCCTCGTGAGAAGTACTTAACAATACATTCCTCACACACACACACACACACACACACACACACACACGCACGCACGCACACGCACACGCACACGCACACGCCACGCACACGCACACGCACACGCACACACAGAGATACGTCTCATACGCAATTGAATCCTAAAACAATAATCAGCGTCTGCTATGATTCTCTTCACTGCGCATGTCTCGGAATCTTCCGACTTCCGATACTGAAGCCGCTTGATCGCTGCGCTGTGTTGGTTTGTCGGTTTAGTACACAGAACGGTATGAGTTTGCGGAGCGGTGTTAGGAAAAGTCGCAAAAGATTTTTACGAACATGGTCGGCCTACTCTTCCACGTGCTTTATTTGCTGGGCAAGTGCATATACGATAGATATCGCATCAGAAAAACGAGACTCTTGCCCGATGTCGCATACGAAGAGGAATTGTCCAGGTACGATTATGATGCGCTCGATGATTCGGAATTGGAAAATACATTGTGGTGGACACACGGGACAATAGGCAACTTTTATCCACCGGCATATATACAAAGATACTGTGCGGTGATGAATGTGCTCAACGAATACAAAGGAAAATTGTGGAAGGTATCAATATCTTGAATGCTTATAATAATGTAAATTTAATATATGTATTATTATAACAACACTACTCGCAATCAGCGTAGCGTTGGTATTGTGAAGTATTTGAGTAAGTTCCTGTTGTCAGCCGCCTATTTTGCGTAAAAATCACCAGATAGAGTATTGTACTTTTAAATATCTTGTTTATTTTAAATATATTGACGTATTGTTCCAAAATATAAAATTATGTTAATTCCCATAATCTCTTACATTTATGATTGCATTAAAAAATTTTTTTCACAGATTGTTGATTATGGTTGTGGCGAACTAGGTTTATTGTTGTACTTGAAAGCGATACCTGAAGTGGAGGAGATACTTTGTGTTGATGTGGATAGGGAAGTGCTAGAGAGATACAAAGAAAAAGCAGCACCGTTAATCACAGAATTGTTGTCCTCTCGAGAAAGGAAGCTTACAATAGATATTTGTGAAGGCAGTGTAACAGACAATGATGTAAAATTAAAGAATGCAAACGCTGTAATTTGCATTGAATTGTAAGTTCTTATATAGCATGAACATTATTATAAAAGTTATTTCTATATATATTTGTATATATATCTTATTTTAGAAAAATATTTTTTAATTGTAGGATTGAACATTTATATCCAGATACATTAATCGATCTCCCTTTTAATATTTTTGGTTATATTAAACCAGAAGTAGCAATAATAACAACACCAAATGTGGAATATAATATAGTATTTCCACATTTATCAGGCTACAGACATCCAGATCATAAGTTTGAATGGACAAGGGAACAATTTCAAGACTGGTAAGTAATTGTGTAAAGCTTGAAAATTTTACTTCATGAAAATTTAATTTTTATCACTTTGTTAACAGGGCACAAAATATTGTGGTAAGATACCCATATTATAGAGTGACATTTCACGGAATTTGTAATGGACCTGAAGGCACTGAAGAATTTGGTGCATTAACGCAGATGGCAGTGTTTCACAGAATTTCACCAAGAAAAGATTCGAGACTAGAAATTCTAATGCCAGATGAATATATTCAGTTAAAAGGTCAACACTTATTTAATACAGTTGCTACGTATAAGTACTCTACAGGACATGACATTCGTTCAGACGAACAAAAAGTACTGGATGAAGCGATATATTATATCAATTATTTATCCTATGATATAAATGATGAAGACAAACCCAGAATCTATGAAATATACTTGGACCGTATATTAAGCTTTATGACTAAGTACACCATTTCGACAGAAACACTGAGATCGATTCTAACAGATGCAGGATGGAGCATTGTAGATCGAGAAAATGGACCAGCAGTACTTAATCCTTCCGTGGATTCTTATGAAATATCTAGCGATGATATGAACATGGAGGATGATTGGGATAATGAATATGATGATTCTGAAGATCCTGATTCTACAAATGTGGAGAATATATGGGATTATGCAACCGGACCACCCATAAATGAGACAGCTGTAGATGAAAATGAAAGACATTCATCTGAGCAAAATTCACATATTGAAAGTTGGCATGAAGAACCTAATATTACAAATGAGGAAAATAGATGGGATGTAACTAATCCATCCATAAATGAAACATCTGCAGATACAAATGAAGAATATCCATCTGAACAAAATCCGCACATTCAGAATTTGCATGACAGTCCCAATTTGACAGATGAGGACAGGTGGGATTATGAATCCGGCATAAATGAGACGCCTGCGTACATCGATGAGGAATATTTATCTACCCAAAATCTTGATACTGAAAATTGGTTTGAAGAACATAATTTTACAGATGTAATGAATAGATGGGATAGTGAATCTGATGATTCATATATAAATCAAGTATTAGATCAAGTATCAGATGCAAATGAATATTCATCTGCGCAAAATCCTCATATTGAAAATTGGCATGAGGAATCCAGTATTATCATTCCCAAAAATTGTTCTATTAATCAAGAGAACACTTATTTATTTGATGGCGAAAATGATTTAGTAGAAGAATCTCAACCGTTAAAAGAGCCATATGCAACTAATGACGATATCAAACAATCAGGAGTTAGAAATGTAGAATCTTTAATATACACTGAACGAGAATTACCAAGTAATTCGATTGCTCTAACTTTAAATGAGGTAGAAGCTCAAGTATCTGCTTCTAATATGTCCGCAACAGCATTCAGCAACAGTTTGGCATTAAAAATTTTAGATGATGATGTTACAGTAGAATCAGCTTTATTACAAAATGATCAGATAAATCTAAGAACTATGGAAGGAGTTGCTTCAATATCGAATTTCCAGTCACATATGTCTGTTTCACGTTCATCAACGTCACTAAAAACACTTTATTTCAGTTCTGAGATGAACAACTCTTTGCAAGATTTTAGTACATGTTATCAAAATGAATCATCAATCAACAATCAATGTTTATTGAACAGTACTTTTCATCAATCTGAAATGGCAATCGGAACAGCTATGAATACAGAAGATTCGATTGCAAAAGATATACCTTGTTTTAAAGAAAGTCTTCCAAAGAAAAATACACAAGATGAAATAAATTTTTTGTTACATACTCCAGATAAAAATCAAACTTATGAAAATAATGATATGACAAATGTGATGTCATTAGATGCTAGTTTTAATAATAAACCAAAATATACAAGTTCACCTCATACACAAATGCCCACTACCCATATTGTTAGAAAAAGTTTAAAATACAAAGAATTAATACCCGCAATGAATAGCAGCGTTTTACTGGACACACCAGAAGAAATTAAGGAAATTGTATCAGATATTATTGATAGTATTTTATTAAAATCTAGTCAGGAGTCTAATAGTAGTATTACAGAAACAATTGAACCACATGCCACTTCTTCGAGTAGTACTTTTACAAATATTTCAAGACACGACATAGATTCTTCTGCTAGTAATAGCACACAGCAAAACTTGTGTTTAGAAAATAAAGAATTTAGTGATGTTGATAATTCCATCTCTACGGAATTAATACAAGGTACTAATAAAGAATTTACAGAAAATATCAATCATGAATCTAACATTGTGAATGATATCCAAAATGCAGATGCATCCTACGTCTCATCATTAGGAAATGAGAGTATTAATCATAAAGATAAAAGTGTATATTGTACATTAGCAAAAACAGATCTGACAAAAGCACACTTAGAAAATATAATTAGTGACCTTGCACAGTTAAGCATAAAGAAGAAAGATTTAAATCCGCCTAGAGAGTTATTAAATTCCAAGTCACATAATATTAGCAAATACTCTTCATCTGATTGTGCCAAAGAAATTAGCATTTTAAGAAATGATAAGTTTGTACCTTGTAAAAGTAGTGAAGATACAAATAATGTTTTCACGTCAGCACTGAAAAATGAAGAGAATGTTAGTACAAGTAAAGATGTATCAAATACTGTTGGAGTGAATAATGTTGAAGTTAAATCATTTTCTCCGCTTGAAACACCTCCGAACAGTTGGTCTCCCGAGATCATGGATTCTGGTTATCCAAATTCTGTTTCCGCACAAGATATAACACCAGAATACGAGTTGCCTAGCATAGCTCAGGATTATATACCAGATTCTGAATCGCCAAGTATTGCGGAAGCGCCAAGACTTGGTGTTTTGGAACCGGTTGAAGTGGAAAACGGCGATTTAGCAAATAACAACAGAGATGATGAAGGTAATAATATGATGGCTGTGGATGCTAATGATATTGAAAATTTACAACCTCTAATTGACGTACTCGAAAACGATCTGGAAAACGAAAACGATATTTACGTAATGCAGAATGGTTTTCCTATATGGTTACTGAGGATATTAGATATGGCAAATCCGCTTGATTTTGATATGCAAGCTCGACAAAATCTGAGAATTCCTGATGAGGCTGCAGGTAACTGTATCTTTCTATCTTCATACTGTCTGCATATTTTAAAGATAATGTACTTATAATATTTTTATATTTCCAGACGATGTTAACTATGTAGGTCAAGATGAAGGTTTTGATAGCAGTTCTTCAGAAAGTGAGAGTGATGTAGCTTACAATGAAATGGAAAATGATAATGGATATGGTAAATAAAAAGATTTGTCTTAAAGAGAAAAAGAAAGAAAAGAGGAGATAAAACATGAGCATGACATAATTGCAGCATTAAAGTACTATCTTACATATCATTCTTCGATGCTCCTGACAAGTTTGCAGTGTAGGCTTGAAAAGTAAATATCTTAGAAAATATTTTTGCTTGCGTTTCAATCATAAAGAGTGTATTCCAAATCATGGATAATAAATTTTTTTATTCATTAAAATCAAACTAATAAATAAAACTACCTCTTTCTATATATTTTAACATAATATTTTATTAAATATTTCAAGCCTATGCAATGTTTTATGTAATAAAATATCTAGGACTACATTCCAAAATTTTTCTCCGAGGAAAATTTTATTCGATATAATATAGTATAATATAGTAATCGATATAATATACAGTTACATACGCTATATATTTCGAAAAATTTTCCTCGGAGAGGACATTTTGTAATGTAACCAAAATCAATTTTAGATACCTACTAAATAGATAAGTTATGTTCATTAAGTATAATATTTGTTTTTATTGTGTGTATTGAATGTATTTTCTATGATATTCTCTTTCTCTCATTTGAATAACTGCAAGAATTTTTCATTCTTGTATTATAAAATATCAATGAGCTTTTCTCTTATTTTTATGAATATGAAATATTCTTGTTATTATTCAAATTATTACGCAGTCTTAACATGTTATGCATACGCGTATATAATATATGTACATGTATGCATGTTTTGTATGTGTACATGGATACATACACGCGTGCGCGTACGCATGCACGCATAATATATAAAAGTACATACATGTACATAATATATATTCACATATCGATTTGTATGAGTGCATATATATATATATATATATATATTGTGTGTGTGTGTGTGTGTGTGTGTGTGTGTGTGTGTGTGTGTGTGTGTGTGTGTGTGTGTGTGTGTGCGTATATTTTCTTACAATTTTGGATTTTTTTTCAATAGTTTGTTAAATATCTCTAATATACTATTTCAGTCCTTGATGTGATTTATGAAAATTTATCAATATGTTAAGTTTTGATAGAGTAACGTATATCTATGTGATATCGATAGGTCAATAGTAGACGTGATAACGAATATTAAATTAATTTTTGTAATTATTTGATAATTTCGTTAAAATTTCCTACCTAAGACTGAAACTACATAGTTAAGTTCGCAGTAATGCAAAAACTTTGGACAAATAAAATCGATATAAAATTTGAACAAATGTAATGTTCTCAATATATTTTATCCTAATACAGGTAAACATGTACACATTATATGGCGTAAAAGTTACGAGCTTCTTAATATTAAATATTTTACATTGAAACGTGATACCTTTCTTTATTTCAGTGGAATGAAATTACAGGGTATACAATGATTTATACGTAGCCTAAGACTTTACATGATTCTGTTAGTTAAACGATTTTGACTGTTGTGTTTTTAGTATTTACAGAAATAAAGTCTTCCATTTTTCAATACAAGCGGTTATTCGCTAGAGTGTAAGTCAAAATGACCATAAACTTTGCTTGAAATCGTGTACATATTACTCGTTAATAACTTTACTAAATTTAATTTAAAATTTAATAAAAAAAAAATAAAAATAAAATACAATAAAAAACATGTATTGACTGTTTCAGTAAATTTCATAATATAACTTAATGGCACAAATATGCTTTAATTTTACATATACGCAATTTTAATATTTTTTTGCATAAAGTTATAATCTCTTTTAATTCTTTCTTGTTTAAATCTGTATAAATAAATATATCACACTTATATATAAGTAAATGGCACGACTTACGAAGCTAAGTTTGATAGTCAAGAATGTGCTATAGGTGTATAGCAAATTTATTGTGGAAACATCTTATAATACTAGACAAAATTACACATCAATGGAATTGCATTTTTAAGTAGTGCCTTAATACAATCTATGGCGTTTAGTAACGTTCGTCTTACTACAAATTTTATCAAAACAAAGTGCAAATTATAACTAAACAGTATTATAAATATCTTGCAACTACCGTGTAATTTACATGTGTACCTATTCTGCTACATTTTTATGATTAATATCCCTTGATTAAATGGGAAATTAAAATATATTTTTCGCGTGTTTATCAGTGTGACAAAAGTATATATAAAACTAAAATAGTGAAAGTTTTTAATATCAAACTTAACGTAGAATTAGTAGAATTATCGGAATATTGTGTCAGTAAAACTGTCAAGACTATATATACGTATGTAACTATCAATTACGTCAGTTGAATTGAAGTCATTGCAGAATATAGTGGACTTAATAATAAAGATACATGGAAGAAAACGCATTCGTACTATTTTGGAATGTTATATTAATTCAGATAAAATTAGATAATGGAAAATCAATTAATAGAAAAGTAAATAAAATAATTATTTCTGTTATGTAAATTCCGATTTTCGTAATCACGCATTTGTTCAATAGAATTGTCATGACTATTATTACTCGAAAGTTATTGTATGTATAGATAAAAGTCTCTATAGCATTTTCTCCCTTTCATGCTTAGACTAGTTTCATACAAAACGTGGCATATGTACTTACTTTTATTTTCTATTATTGTAAATAATTTATTGTGTTTACGTACGTAATGTGATTCTTTTTCAGTTGTTTTTCGTTAGTAACTGCGTGGTGTTGTGTACATTTTTATCGAGCACAACATTTACATATATTGATATACATCAACAAATGAAAGAAAAAAAAAATAAACGTAAAAAATAATGTTACTATAAGCGTTTATACGCGTGTCGAAAAAAAGGAAAAAAATCACAGAAACAAATCTATTTTTAAAATGTAACAAAATTTATAACAATGATTTTCAATATAATATCAGCTGTTATGTAAGGGGCTGCCTGATGAAAAAAGTATTTGATACGCAATTCAATTGAGCGTGTCAAAGAATATATCAAGTTAACAAATAACAGTACATTAAATAACTACGAACATACATCATGTTCACATATTCATGCCCGGCGCACGACTCCAAGATGTACGTATTCTTCTCCTAATGGCATTTTGTCTGCATAGCGAAAACATGAAAATAATATGGTTTAATCGAATATTAGACTATCATTATTCGCAAGCACGCACAGGAAGCGCATTAAAAGTCGTATCACGGAAGTAGGTTGCACAAATAGTCGCTTCATAGTAGCATGGATATAAAAGATTCTTTTATCTTTATATCGTGCGACAATGGTCGCGTTTAGCAGACTCTATTGGATGATCTAGAAGAATACACAAGATCTAGAAGAATATACAAGCAGCAAGAGAGCGCTCCGCAACAGTTGAGTCTGCTGAACGCAATCACTGTGTCTTCTATCTTATTCTATGCTTTAAAAAATATTTGATGGTTGACGAGTAATATATTTTACTTGTTGACAGATATTTTATTCGTCAATGAATGTTGACGAATGTCTCTGTTTCATATCCATGCAACTATGTAGCAACTGCTTTGTAATATATTTCATTCTACTTTTATATTCATTTCATTATAGATGTGCTATTTTTTTAGAAGGTATTGTACTTTGTACTTACTGCATCACACAACTTCTTTAAGATTATCGCGCGTTTCACGGCCACGAGAATGTATTAGATGGTGCAGATCACCTCCAGGCGCACTGTCGCGTCTCAGATCTCTCAGCGCGGTAGGAGCCATTGCTTCTCTCTTGTTTGCCGCTTCCTTTATACTGGACAAGGTTTTGCTGAGCCATGGCCAACTATTTCGCGCGGCTTGCAGCTCTGAAGCGGTGGCGTGCAACTCATGTGTCAGATACTGTCAAATGATTTGCATTAGAATTCAAAGATACAAACTATCAACTATGCAAAACACATATCCTTGTTGCTCACCTGATTCCGACATTCGGCCTCGACATGCGCTAATTTCGTTTGCGCTAATTCTAGCTCCAACTCACGCACTCTTTCCTGCACCCTATGAAGCATGGGATCTATTCGATTCTCCAAAGGATGTGCGATATCTGCCAATATGTTTGATGAATCCATTATACATGTCCTACATTTTTCGCATTTTGAAACCTTTGCCTGAAATATATTGTTATCAGAATCTGTGTTTGATTAACACTATCAAAATTAAACCAGATTACATACCCGTAACTCACTCAATGTTGTTTTCGCAGCGTTGTAATCATCCTCCAAACGCTGGCAGATCTGGAAAGTGTAAATATTTTTATAGCTATCTGTAATACTTAAACTTAAATGTACAATATCTTGTAAATACCTGCTTGTATTCGGCTATAATGACATTGCTTCTGCGGCTTTCGGCGTCTGCCCGAGCTACCTCACGCTGTAACATTTCCTTAATTTGCAACAATTCTGCCTCTAATCTTTGCTTTTCTTCTTCATTTCTGGCTACTGTACCGCGTAATTGCTCCACTTCGTTACTGTATTCATCAGCATTTTCCTGTGCTTCTACATGAGGAATAAACAATTCTTATTTAGGCAAGTTTAAGAATTTAATGTATTAGACAATTAGATTATGTTTATGTCGGGATTTTGTTTTATGCTTACTCTCTCTCTCTTTCTCATATAAATTTATAGTTATAAATTCCTAAAATTCGTCCCAAATATACCATAGTTGTATACAATGTTATTAAAAAAGTTATTATAAATAGTTATAAAAATATTTTTTTAGAAATGCACTTTTATTTTTTCGCATAAGTTATATTGTTTTGCTATAAAAATTTCATGTATTTTATCAGTCATGTTTGATGTTGCTACATGTATCACAAATGTTTTATTTTGAATTGCACACGTTTCTTCTAAAGAAATTCGGCAACACGGAATAATTTCTGAACATGCACACTTAAGTATTATATAAGCACACTTTTCACTCTTACTCTTCATTAGTTCTTTCGTTGCATGGCTCATATTTGTGCCACAGATATGTTAAAAACAGATGGTCCGAACGTAACTGACAGATATCGTATTAATACGAACGGACGACTTTGTTATGTACTACAGAAATGTACTATGGCCA